CTATCCAAATAACGATTAATAGCTTTTTGAACAAAAGGTGGTCATCATAAGTAGACAGTTTATACGATAATGATATGTAGTTTAGACCAATAGGTGGTCAGTTAAGGTATCAGTTAAAGCAACAAGGCTGGTAAAAGTATATCCAAATGGCAAACTCTAACTTAAGTGAATTACGTGCTATTTGTATTCCACTGCAAGCCACCAAAAATGTCTATTTTTTTCAACAAAGTCTCTGAATCTAAACTTGTCATTTATGACAACTAGGATTAAATTACTCATGAGGTAAACTTCCACAATGGTTTCCACCACAATAAAGTCTTCCTCACACTTATCAATAACGCGTTAAGTCATGGATGAGCACTATTGACAAGTCTCAAATTAGGACAAAAGAGATATTATTATCAGAAGGGGTTTTGTGGAAATTAATTATTTTCATAGTTGAAAGCGTGAGTCAATTGAAGCTAGCGTTTTTCCTGGTAAGCGTTTTTTTGGCGAGTTGGTTTTCTACGGGATGGGGTCGCTAACCCCATGCCCAACCCTCCTCCTTTACCCAGGCTTGGAACCGATAGTAGCTCCCGGAGGAGCTACAGGCGGAGCTAGACCACCATGGAAAACCTGGAAGCACTGAACTATCGGTTAAGTGCTCCGGCGCCAGACTGGTAGGTCCTAAGTTCGAATCTCTCGAGTGCGGGATCGTGGATGCGCACTGCTGAGGAGTCCCATAATAGGACGAAACAGCCGTCCAGTGCTTCCAGGTTTTCGATGGTGGTCTAGCTTCAATTGACTCACGCTTTCAACTACAAAAGAGATATTTAATTTAAAATTCACATATGAGGAGGAAAACGGAGGTAGGATCGCTTTTCTAGATGTTCTCCTTACAAGGAGAAAAGACGGTTCATTAAAGAGAAATATAAACAGGAAAACATCGTGGACGGGTCAGTATACTAACTTTCTTAGTTTTGTTCCTCTACAGTACAAAAGGAACCTAATTAAGACATTACACTATAGAATTAAGACCATATGCTCTGAAGATATGGTCGAAGAAGAAACAAAAGCATTATATATGACCCTGAGGGAAAATGGATACCCGGAGAAATTTATAAACAAAAACATAACTAGTAAAAGAGACCATAAAGAATGTTTAACTGTGAATAAAAAGCCTCTGTATATACGTCTACAATTCAGAGGTGACGCACCTAGCGAAATGGTAAGATTGAAACTACGAAGATCAATCGAAAGGACTTTTAATGCAGGTAAACTACAACTAATGTTTTCCACACGCCCAATGATCACGCCGACGTTGAAAGATAAATTGCCTAGACTAGCCACTTCCTTCTGTATCTATCAATTCAACTGCTCCTGTGGAGCAAGTTATATAGGCAGATGTTCTAGGAATTTGTATACTCGGGCTCGTGAACACCTTCCAGTGTGGTTAAGCAAAGGTGTAGTCAGAACGGTTAACAGCTCTGTTTTAGCCCATTTAGTTCAGACGGGACATATAGCCGACATCGAGCAATCCTTCACAGTAATATATCGTGTTAATAGTAGTCTACCTAATTCTGTCAGACAGAGAATCCTGCAGACGGCTGAGGCAATTGCTATTCGGATCAAAAAGCCAGAGCTCTGCATCCAAAAGAAATATGTACAGCCGCTCCTTTTACCCTGGCCAACTTCAGGGTCAACTTGTTAATGATCAATTTTATAATATGGTGACATTAATTTGATTAATGTTCACTTCTATATCTCAAACTTAGTTTATCTACACATCTTATCAGTCATTATTCTTCTTATTATTATCTTTATTATTATTATTATGATTATTATCACACCTGCTAACCTTTTAGAGAAATTTATTCGTCATCCACCCCCTATCTACTATATCTGACCTAATTTATATAATTCTACATATTACGTAATTTCCGATTTGTAATCCCATTGTTCTATCTCTCACCCCCATGTCAACTATATATATTCTGATCATTTATATTACGATTTCATTTCACCTATAAACTGATTCAAGTTAACACATCATATTAGTCATCCCAAAAACATTAACGATTCGATCTTATTTTATTTTATATGACAAACAATCCTTGATTCACATATTACAGTTTCTTAAATTGATGTACTCCGCCTTAAACTTGGCCAATCTTCTTTTATGGATTATTAATTTATAATTGTAGAACCTGATGAGAAATTATTGAAAAGAATATTCTTCGTTCATTTAATTGTGTTTTAATATGATGGGAATTTTTCACAGATATTTAATTATTCCTGCTTCCTAATGGTTTTTCGTGTGAATAATAACACGGCGATTAGTGATGAATAATTTTTGCATGATGAACTGATCTGCACAAAACACATTCAACCCTACTATAGCCATGCTCACTAGTGAACTACGTAAGGATGGATCCCTGAAGTTTGAATGAAACATGTTGATAGATGGAGACTGGATATGTCTATGGTAAAAGCCGTCACTAATAGCATTTGATGACTATCATGTTAGACGACGAACTGACTAGAGTTAGAAATGTGTACCACCTGATATAAATATAGTGGTTTGAGGGTCAGTCATCAACCTCGAGGCCTGAAGGTCATGGGTCCAACTTTCGGGGTACCCATGGGTGAGCACTGCTGAGGTGTCACATAATAGTCTAAAACAGATGTCGAGAATTCCCTGGCTTTCTATAGTAACCCAACCAAAGTCCAACGGTGATAAACCCCACCCGAAAATCAAATCAATCCATAAGAGAACGATTAATTCATTTTTAAGTGAGGAATTGCTATAAAACATATATCTTTCTTACTTACAGTAAATGAAAAACCGGTAGGGAGAAATTGATGGAACACACATACCATTTTCCGTTAAGAGGTATTTTATCTCGGATTAGTCTACATAGCCGAGTGATGAAGATTTAATCTACATCAAAATTCCACCACACACAATCGTACGTTTATAGTTTCTTCTAATGAACAGAGTATTATTGTAAGAGTCAATGACGCACCGTCCCAACCTAGATACTTAACATGATCTTGCCAATTCATGAATGAGCAGGAAACATATTTCTGTTTGATAATGAGGTAAGGACACGGCTAATGTTTTAACTATTTATTGGTAGGTTATAAAGTGAATATAGGGACGAATGAGTTCAGTCTTACGAACTTTAATCACCACACGTGTAATAGTAACGACCTCACTTAAATTTCCAAATAAATTAGTGTTATGGAGAATATACCGAAAATTAGAGAGATAAACAAGAAAAAGATCTATAAATTAAACTAATATTACTGTTTATAAATTAGATATCTCTACTGAATTATGCGTACATTTCTAACTGGAACTAAAACAGCAGTCTTAGATATTTCAAATATTTGGGTATTATCTTAGCTGTAAGTGAACAAGCTCTTATAGATATCAATCATGTATTTAAAATAATAATAATTAACCAGTTTATCGGTGCTCACTTTTCTACGTTATTTATCTATTATAGGAGGAAAAATACTGTTATGTTTACTTAATGCAGAGGATTATACAGAATCACCAATCTTGATACACTTTGTGTTTGTGACTGCTGTTTAAGCTCAATCAATGCAGTGTCTGAGATAATCGATAAGTTTTTTTTATTGCACATAGTAAACAGAAAGGTTTGAAACTAACTGCCGAGGGCTTTTCATCTTATAAGGACGTTATAAGTTGCGCTCGAATGCACGAAAAGAGAGTGAACCTGTTGTTTTCATATTAAATCCTCGAGTCCTTCCCAACACTGGGAAATTTCAGGAGTCAAACCTTCTTACGACGATGTATTTCTTTCGTTATCCCTATCAAACATTAGAAGTTTCAATTCTCTTTCAACTAATTCTGCTACCACAGAGAACTAAATTTAAACTACAAAACGATTTCACGGATTTTTTGTCAATTAAGTTTTGCTCATCGCGCTTCTTAATAGTGGTAGAAATCAATCATAAATTGTCTATGAAATTAATAATTGGTACTGTGAAAACGAAAAAAACATTTGAGAAATCATAACACCAACATGTATGTCTAAATAAACCCTAAAACACACAATAATACGCTGGTCTAAGTTTCTCATTTAACGACAGTAAAAATAGGTAAGTCGACGATGAGAAGGTATTATGGTGAGAGCAGAAAGTACTGACAAACAAAAAACAAATGATGAAATTAAAGTATTCAATACTTAGGGAGAGATAATGAATTTATCTTCTCTTTAATTTAGAATAGATTATCTGACAAAGTCCCATTTGGAAACAACATTCGCACAGTATCTTCACTCGGAGTTGTTTATCAAAAAAAGACGTTCTGGCCAATTTACATACAACATCAACTATAACGCTGTTAAAAACAACCTAAGAAAGGAAAACTATCCCGTGATTGGCTGCTATATTCATTGTGAACAACGATACTAATAACATAGTTACTCAACAACAGGAATATAAAATGTTTATGAACTCTCCACAAGACGTTAATAAACACTAAAATAGAGACATTAAATGCATTTCTGGGTTCTTGGACATTTAGAATACGTTCGTGAAAACTTATGAAGTACTGTTACATTCCAACAATTCAGGTGATTTGTTTTGATTTCACTCCAGAACGTCAGTATATTTGGTGCAAATAGACATACATAAATTCTTTAGTTATTGCCCCTAACATGACTAAAAAGATGTGAACAGTAGTGTTTTAGCTCTGTATCATTATTTTCATACAACTAATCTTACAAATCGACAAATCACAATAATTTGAAACTCGATATTAGTTGTTAAACTTTTAAACTAAAGAGTGAAGAAATTGAACACAATTAGTTTTTACATTCCCCAACATATTGTGGCGAGTGAAAAAGAAGATAAATGTGCATTTAATAAGTAGAAACCAAGGTACAGGAGTAAAGTAGTTATATAGCACATTCAAAGTCATGTTTAGGAATACAGTGTGCACTAAAATAAATGCATCGGTAGGCAATTGTTACTATTAAGCAACTAACCTCAATTCTGGATGCTTTTTGTTTGCTACTGCTATTTGTCCCATACATCTGGAAGAGGTATTCTTCATACCTATGAAACAAATTAAGAAAGTAAAACAGCTATTTTGTCTTAAGATAACAGTTGACGTAGCAAAATGTATCAGATAATCATATAACTGAAATACTTTGAAGAGAAACGTTAATTAACAAAAAATTAAATTTTAAAAAATTCTTACATGAAGTTAAGTGTCTATATAACAACGAGATTTAAACTAATGGTATTTATGTTCTCAATTTTTCCAATTCATTACCTCATTCTGAGAACCCTAAAATATTCAGAGTTGTTATTATTACATCATTTGATAAAAGAGCATCCGCAGCAACATTTCGTGATATATCTATTAATGAATAACAAACCATGCATGTTCAGTTTTGATACATTTGTGACAAGTATAATATCACATAAATTTGGATTGCAAAACAAACGGTCTAAAATATGCGAAGTAACATAATAAGAGTAAAAGACTTGAGATGAAGTCGACTAATTGAAAATATATTTCATAACACTTGACACATCATAGCTGAAAGATCAAATAAAGAAAACATGCAAGAGACCACCAGTAAACACACCTTTTTCGAAATGAATTCATTCCATATCCCAAGTAACTTTTAACGTAGAGTTTGTATCGTTGATTTGTAGAAAACCAATTTCTTGTTACGGAAAATTCTGATACTAAGCTGTTTGGTAGATTATCTGTCGATTGTACTTCATAAGCGATTTGCATACTTGCTCCACCCATATCAAGCATGCCATTAGTAGGTTGTCTAACAGGCCCTGTGGACAAAACCAGGATTTATAATTTTCAGAGTAGTTAAAATTATTCTTTCACTTCCTGAGTATGACAAATATCAGATAAAAGGTAATAATTCTTAATGGAAGTAGGGTTAAATTTGTATAGCTTTATACACTATAAACAAAATATTCACTGGTTAGAAGTAGGCTCAAGCTAGCAAACAATCTCATAAAGTATAATAATTGAACAGCGTTATTTTCACCAAGGTTCATCCCAAAGTAAAAACAACTTAAGTATAATTCTAAGCATTATTTAATTTAAAAAATTGTAACTCGCCAAATCTAAGATCAGAAAGGAGTCCTTACCTTCATCCCCAGGGAGTAAACGAAACCTCCCAAGCAAGTAATTTACAGCGATCCACCCAAACAAACCTTCTTCTACACCAGATATTGTGTATGCATAAGTTTCTTCAAACTGGAATTTATACGTGGATTTTACATGACTTCGAACATTCCTCCAAATCGCATCTTGATTCCTGTCAGTTCAAGGCATAATAATTAATTAATTCGACTCATACGTTTGTGTAAGAAGCCTCATTCCTGCCGTGGCCATAATGAATAACGGGGTATTAGGTTGGCTACTCCTAGGGATATGTGACTCAGCATAATCCAACAATGCAGATATATAATCACGAATGTCAGATAACTTGTCGGCAAAGCTTGAAAGACCAGGGCTTTTCTTTTTTACTACAGGGTTTCCTAATACATCTTTCAAAATCTCCACATCTTCTAAACCACTCAGGGATTCTGCTTTTATTTGCCATGTGTACACGAACATTCTCGAACCACTGCTGCCTGAAAGAATCTAAAAGTTTGTTTTCCACTTACCAGCATCAACAATAATAATATAATTTTGACCAACGGGTGCTGCCTCAAATGTATGCATCTCGAACAGAATAAAGACTAAGGTTACGATGTTTAAATGTGTGAAGAATGTATGCCAGCTCATGATTTATTCAAAACTGGCAAAATAGTAAGAGTTCTTGATATATATACAGTTCTTATTTGTAACACCCGAACCATATTTCTGCTCAACCAATCACCATGCCGACAAGCGACTAATTGCATGACCCGGTAAACTTAACTGATTTGGTTTTTCGTTTCAACCATGAATTAACAAGACTAGGCGAATCAGCAGATCACAATTGATAATATTATAATTTTATTTAGATTTTTTTAAAACACATCAATAGTTATTCATAATCTCTCTGTAGAAGTGAATAAGGAATGAATGGATAATCGTTTATATTGGTCAAAATGTGTTGCTCAGCCTATTGTTTCCAAGCAGTCTGCACGTTTCCTAACAATTCCATGAAACTAGTGAATCAGTTCTCTAGCCTTTCGCATGACTGACTTTTAGCGAGAATTCCATGAATATGTGTTTAGGTTGTTCGGCAACCTACTTACTTACGCCTGTTACCCCTCGTAGAGGAGCGTAGGCCGCTCACCAGCATTCTCCATCCAACTCTGTCCTGAGCCTTCCCTCCCAGTTCTTTCCATTTGCCATTCATCCTTTTCATATCTGCTTCTATTTCCCGGAGTAATGTGTTCTTTGGTCTTCCTCTTTTCCGCTTCCCTTCCGGATTCCAAGTTAAGGATTGAGTCGTGATGCACATTGGTGATTTCCTTAATGTATGTCCGTTCCACTTCCAACGTCTTTTCCCAATTTCCTCTTCAACTGGAAGCTGGTTTGTCCTCTCCCATAAAACGCTGTTGCTGATAGTATCCGGCCAATGGATGTTGAGTATTTTGCGTAGACAACTATTTATAAATACTTGTACCCTCCTGATGATGGATGTAGTAGTTTTCCACGTTTCAGCTCCTTACAGTAGGACTGTCTTGATGTTCGTATTGAAGATCCCCACTTTGAAATTAGTTGAGAGTTGTTTTGAGTTCCATATGTATTTCAACTGTAAAAATTCTGCCCTTGCTTTGCCAACCCTCGCCTTTACATCTGCATCAGATCCTCCTTGTTTATCAACGATGCTCCCCAGGTACTTGAATGTTTCCACCTCTTCCAGAGTTTCGCCATCAAGTGTGGTTGGGTTGGTATTCTCCGTGTTGCATTTGAGAATCTTGCTTTTTCCTTTGTGAATGTGGAGGCCTATCGATGCGGAGGCCGCTGTTACATTTGCTGTCTTCATCTGCATTTGTTCGTGTGTGTGAGAGAGGAGGGCTAGGTCGTCTGCGAAGTCCAAATCATCTAATTGATTCTGAGCTGTCCACTGCATTCCGTATTTCCCGTCAGATGTCGGATTCTTCATAATGCATTCAATAACTAGAAGGAAGAGGAATGGGGAGAGTAGACAGCCTTGTCTAACTCCGGTCCTTACTGGAAATACATCTGTCAGCTGTCCTCCATGCATGACTTTGCACTGTAGTCCATCGTATGAGTTTTGGATAATGTTGACAATCTTTTCAGGAACTCCATAGTGTCGAAGAAGTTTCCATAATGTTCTCCTGTCCACGCTGTCAAATGCCTTCTCATAGTCAATGAAGTTGACGTATAGTGATGAGTTCCACTCAACTGATTGTTCAACGATGATCCGTAGTGTCGCAATCTGGTCTGTGCACGACCGATCATTACGGAATCCAGCCTGCTGATCCCTAAGTTTGTCGTCTACTGCGTCTTTCATCCGATTTATCATCACTCTTTTTAAAACTTTTCCTGGTACTGATAACAAACTGATGCCTCTGTAGTTTTCACATTTGCTCAGATCTCCTTCGGTATCTTGATGAGATATCCTTTTTTCCAGTATGTTGGCTCTTGTTCCTCTTCCAAAATCTTCTTGAATAGAAGGTGAAGCATGTTTGCAGTTACTTCAATGTCTGACTTCAGTGCTTCTGCTGGTATATTGTCAGGTCCTGCCGCCTTCCCATTGTTGATTTGTCTGATGGCCATCATGATTTCCTCGATCGTTGGTGGAGTGACATCTATTGGAAGGTCAGTGTGTGCTGCTTCGATGTTCGGTGGGTTCAATGGGGCTGGTCTATTCAGCAGTTACTCGAAGTATTCTGCCCATCTTTTCCTCTGTTCTTGAATCTCAGTGATTGTCTTTCCTTCATTGTATCATATAGTTGTCTCATATTCCCTTCTTTTGCAGCTTTTTCCGCTGTCGTTGCTAGTTATCCCATGTATTTCTGCTTGTCGACTTTAATGCTCATCTTCACTTCCTTGTTTGATTCCACGTAGCCATCTTGCGCCTTGACTTTCTCTGCTCGTGTTCGGCTGTTGTTAATTGCTAGTTTCTTGTTCTTCCTTTCTTGAATTTTGTCCAGGGTTCCCATAGAAATCCATTCCTTGTGATGATGCTTCTTAGGACCAAGAACCTCCTGACACGTTGAAGTTAGTGCTTCTTTTATCCTTTTCCAGTTGTCCTCCAAAGTAGTTTCTTGTTCATTCAGTAGATCCTGTAGAACTTGGAACCTGTTGTTGAGAGTTATCTTGAATTATTTGAGCTTGTCAGTATCTCGAAGGAAGGCTGTAGTGAACCTTTGTAGTGCTGTTTGTCCAGTTGTCCAGTGTTTCTTTAGCTTCAGTCTCATCTTGGCCACAACCAGGTGGTGATCTGAAGCTATGTCAGCTCCTCTCTGGGTTCTCACATCTTCCATTGATCTTCAGAATTTTTTATTGATACAGATGTGATCTATCTGGTTCTCTGTGGTTTGGTCCGGTGAGATCCACGTAGCTTTGTGTATGCGCTTGTGTGGGAATATTGTGCCGCCTATAACCAATTCGTTGAATGCACATAGATTTGTAAGTCTCTCCCCATTTTCATTTCTCTCTCCTAGTCCATGTCGTCTAATTACATATTCATATCCAGTGTTGTCCACTCCAACTTTAGCATTTAAATCTCCCATAAGGATGGTGAGGTCCTTTCAAGAGCACTTCTCTATAATTGATTGCAGCCTTTCATTGAACTGATTTTTATCATCGTCGTTTCTATCATTGGTGGGTGCATAACATTGAATAACGTTCATTGTGATCCCTTGCTTCTTTGTTCTGAATGATGCTTTGATTATCCTGGGTCCATGAGATTCCCATCCCACAAGTGCATTTGGTGCTTCTTTGGACAGCATTAGAGCAACTCCCTCAGTGTGTGGAGCATTTTCCCCTTCGTGACCTGAGTACAGCAGCATCTCTCCTGTACCTAGCCTTTGTTGTCCAGTTTGTGTCCAATGGGTTTCGCTGATTTCGAGTACTGCCAAGTTGTGTCTCCTCATTTCCATTGCTATTTGGCTCGTCTTTCCTGTCTCCCACATTGTCCGGACGTTCCATGTATCTATAAAGAGTGTTGCTCTGGTTGTTAGAGAGTGCATCGGTCTCGTGACTTCCGAAGAATTTCGGCTTTCATCATGAGACGTCATAATTATTTCTTCAACTCCCAGGGCAGAGTTTAAATGGTTTGAATTATTTTTCTGGTTAGCGTTTCTTTAGCCAGTTAGCTTTTCTACGGGATGGGGTCGCTAACCTCATGCCCAACCCTCCTCCTTTACCCGGGCTTGCGACCGGCAGTAACTCTAGAAGAGCTACAGGCGGAGTTTGTTCGGCAACTAGTTATCTTAATTCTAATGTGATCCTGACAATTAGTGAAATCTATCGTTTTACCACCACTTAACTTAGTATATTATGTCCAGGATTTTGTCTGGTGGCTCTGAGGATTATCTCGGCTGATTCTATACCTCATACGAAGAACAATTTTTCTTCGAAATGTAGGCTCTGGTTGACGAAATGAAGTATTGTCATTAAAGCGATTATATGTTGAGAGCTACTGCCATCATCGCCACTTCACTTTCAGGCAAAGCATATAGTGGAGAAGTAACCTGACAAATTTTCAATGGTCACAAGAATTTTTTAAGGTTGTGTATGGAAACGGTAGTCATATTACAGGCTACCCTACATAGGAAATAAGCATCCAAAATAGCCTTTAACTGTCTTCAGATTTGATCCCGATAAAAAAAATAGATGAAGAGTGAAGTGACAAAGATGTGTTATTAGGATTTACTTAAGTTGATAGAAGAAAGGTAACCAGTCCATCGGTTAAATCTGTCTCAAATCTTGACAAACACTCCTTTTGTGAAAGGTCATACACGATGAAATCAGATAATGGAGTAAAAAACTCTCATATTTTCAATGTAATCGACACTTTTGTATATAGGAAGTGTGAGTTCTCGAACAACAGAGCACCAACGTATGAGTAACATGAGTGAAATAGTAATATATCGAAGTGAGAAAAGAAACCAACGAACAAGAGAAATGTTTGTGAAAAGACACATTGCCGGAGTTAGGACTATTGAGATCACGGATTCCTCTAATTATTCCGTTCAAATAAACGTTCATGTCTTCAACAGTTTTGCTGTAATGATGTGACTACTCACCATATCTAATCTCAAATAACTCACAAACCTGTTGTAAACCAACTTGGTGATAAGGCTGTCCATCTTCATAATACAATCTGAGGAAATATCGAATCTGACTGCACGCATTATTTGTTGCCATGTGAAATGCATTTAAATATCTATTTCACAATGAGCGACTAGGTGCCAAGTACTTTGGTTTCGTGTGATTAGTTTCTTACTCGCTTGCTTACGCTTGTTACCCAGGTGGAGAAGCATAGGCTGCCCACCAGCTTGCCTCACTCAAGCCTGTTCTGGGCAATTCTTTGCAGTTCTTTCCAGTTGTCATTCATCCTCTTTATGTCTGCTTCCAGTTCTCGACATAGTTTGATCTTCGACGTTCCTGGTTCGAGCTCTTCCACAGTAAGCTGTTGCTGATGGTTCCCGACCAACGAACGTTCAGTATCTTGTGTAGACAATTGTTTAGGAATATTTTCACTTTATTGATGATGGTTATGGTAGTTCTCCAAGTTTCAGCTTCGTTCAGTAAAAATGTCTTGATGTTCGTATTGAAGATTATGACTTTGATGTTGGCTTGCAGACAGTTGTTTTAGGTTGCATATGTTCTTCAATTGTAGGAATGCGGCCCTTACTTTGCCGATATTCCCATTCACGTCTGCATCCGATCCTCCTTGTTCATCGATCGTTCTGCTGATCAGGTACATAAAACGTTCCACCTCCTCCACAGTTTCTCCTTCAAGTG